CATGAATATCAGTGCTCTCCTTTTTTTTCCCAAATTATAATGTCGTTCTTATGTGCTGCAGTGATGCATTTTACAGCATCTCAGAACATGCTTTGGGGCACAAATATGCAGCATGTTCTATTTTTTGCAGTGCACATAAACACAGCACATTGGTGTAACCTGAAGTCATGAGACACATTAGGCAAATGGCCTTGTTCTTGCATTGGGACTGCATTGGACAATAAAGTCCAATGCAGCCCATCTCTGCTGGCGTGAATGAGTCTCAATTCTTTTTTTCTCCATATAAGAACACCATACCCTCTTTTGAGTCACCCCTTGGCTCTATCACCTACCCACCTCCAAGATCCATCCCTTGGTTCCACCCCCTACACACCTCCCAGTACCACCCCTTTTTGAGAATGCAGAACCAAATGTAGCACTACCCCCTTAGGAGTCGCTACAGATTTTGAGTCCCCCTTAGTCCTGCACAGCCAGGCAACACGCATTTCCTTCCAGCCTTGCACTCCAGAGACAGTAAACAGTATTTTTTTTTTTTTAGCTTGAATAGGGATGAGGGATACATGGGATGCCCAAGGGACTGTTTAACCCCTTGACACCGACATCACACAAATATGCGGCCTCACGGAACTGTGCTTTTTTTCCATGGGGACGCATATTTGCATACATGCCTTTGTGCTGGGAGCGCGCCGCACAAAGACCACGATGTCACTGAGAGCCCCAGGTCCCGTTCTAACGATCGGGACCCGGGACTCTCGATTCCGGGTCACATGATCGCTGTGATAGCCTCTGATTGGCTAACACAGTGATCAGTCACTGTACAGCCCGGCCCCCTTGCTTTTAACTCTCTCTATGAACTCCTGGCATAGAGAGAAAAAATGTTTGTAAAAAAAAAAAAAAAAGATAAATATTAAAAAAGAAAAAAAAAATAAAGAAGAATACCTAGATCAAGGTTTGATCTAGTTCAGTGCTAGGGTTAGTGTTTGGGTCAAGGTCAAGGTCAAAGGTCAGGATTTAAAAAAAAAATTGGTATCAGTGTCAGTTCAGTGTCAGTGTGTTTTAGATAAAAAAACAAAAAAACAAAAACAAAATGCATACTGTTGTTTCTGGGCTGTACTACGGGTACAAACAACAAATAACATACACATATATGGTATCTCTGCAATCCTCAAGAGCTGGAGAATTTATTTTCGGTTGTTCTTTGGTGGTAGATTATGGTAGTAACAAGAAACACACAGCTAAATAAAAAAAAAAGATTTTTTTTTTTAACTATTTTCGGCCAGTTTTCCTTTGATAATAACAAAAATCAGGAGCTGTCCATTACCATTTACCACCAAATGAAAGCCCAATTTCTCCTTAAAAAATCAAGGTATAATCCACCTGGATGTACAAAGTAGTTGTGATGATATGTATGGTTTAACTAACACATATCAACGTTGCAGAATTTTGCTTAGGCATTTGATTTGTTTTACCCTTCGGCGTGAAGGGGTTAACTGAGGACAACTTCTTGAAGCTATTTACAAGTGCTTAGAGGGGTTCTCTTTCTTAGAGAGCTATTCAGCCTCTCCTTGCCTAGGAATCCCTGGATAAGGGGATCTAGGATCTGATTCTTAAAAAAAATCACAGTCCAGCTGGGTATAGTCAGGTTTCCCACCCAAATGCATTCTCCTCTATTCTAATCCAGAAGGTGTAGAAGTACTCACTGTCCCTCCTCTGCAAGCTGCAGGTCAGTAGCTGCTTTCAGGCCTTCTGTTGGGCTAGCTCCCTCCTTTGCTCCACAGATGGTCCTCTCTCAAGGGGGTGGTGAGGTTCAGCTTTCTTCCTCTCTGAAACTCTCCTGGAGGCTGGCCCCTTCCCTGGGCCTGCTCCCAGGCTCCACGCTCCAGCTCCTGCTCTCACATCTTCCACTGAACTCTCCTGCTACTGAGCAGGCTCAGCCACTGTTAAAGGCTGTCTTGACCCCATGCTAAGCCTCCTGCTCAGGGATTGGTCAGGATCCCTTAAGAGTGCAGACCAGCTTCTCCTCATCGCTGCCCACTGAGTTCTAGAAACATCTCTAAGTCTCTAGATCAGGGGGAGGTATCAGTGAGCTAATCTGCAGAGCCTCTCATCCCTGACCGAAATTTGACCCTTTGACTATGGCACTTGGCTGCTATTCAGCCTCTAGGGTGCTACACAAGTATAATTTTGTGGTGCTAAGTAATTTGTATTACATTTGTTAATGATAACAAAAAAAGTAGTAAGATAGATCCCCTGCAGCCAACAACAATAGACCCCCCCAGCAATAATATATCCCACAGCAACAATAGTTCCCCCTCAAAAAATTTACTCCCCAGCAACAATGGACCCTGGCAACAATAGATCCACCCTAGTAACAATAGACCCCCAGCAGCAATAACAGATCTCCAAGTAGCCGGCATCAATAGAACTCTCCCTCAACAGTAGATCCAAGAATTGACCCACCAGCAACAATAGAGTTCTTTCCACCAACAACAGACCTCCGCAGCAACAATAAACCTTCACGCAATAATAGATGCTCTCCAGTGACAATAGATCCCCTAGTAGCCAGCATCAATAGACCCTCCAGCACTCCCCAGCGCCCCTTGCCATTACATATAGTCAGTGCTAGAGGTGCTGGAACTGCGCCCCCCCCCCATGTTCCTGCTGAAAAAAAGCACTGTGATAGTGTATTACTAAATTGACATAATTTAAGATATGCTGTACAACTTCTACCAAATAGCTGTATGGCTTTACAAATTACATGTATCAGAAAATGATAGACAACACCTTCGACGTATTACTATATATGACTCTCCATGTGTCTCCAAATATTACTATATAACTGGGGGGTACATTTTACAGGTTAAGTACACCTTTTGCATCATGTTACCTTCTACACCGCTATTTAGGATGTAACATGGTGAAATTGTCTCCCCTGACCCTCACACAGCCCCCTCCCTCCTGTGGCACCATGCATGGGTTCTTCTTCCTCACAGCCACTGCCCCTTCAAATTTTGTGAGATCTGTGAATGAATGAATTGCAAATTTTGCTTGCCACCGAGGCAGTTCTCAATGGACTATGGGTGTGGTAATTAGCATACAGCACAGTGGCTAAATGGTTAGCACTTCTGCCTGGCAGTACTAGGGCTGTTGGTTCAAATCCCAACCACGGTACCACCTGCCTGGAGTTTGCATGTTCTCCCTGTGCCTGCGTGGGTTTCCTCCGGGTACTCCAGATTCCTCCTTATTAAGAGACAAGGAAATGAAGAAAAGGTATGTGCTGCTTCAGACTACACCTGTTTTGCCCTGAATTAGCAAAGCAAAAATGTTCTTTAAAGAATGTTACCCCAACATTTAATATTCCTGATATGTGTTTGCTGTATGATGCACTTTTGTTTAAACGTACTCTGCTCTCTTTGCATTTCTTCCTTTGTGTGAAATCCCTGCCAGTCCCTCTGATTTCCTAGTTCAACCTGACCACACTAGGCATGAGAGCACACTTGTCCCAGGGTAGTCAGTTTTCTGGCTGCGCTGCATGCACAGCCTGTCCTCGAATGGCCAAGACCTATGCTGACACCCTCTTGCACAGCCATTCACTGGCTGTGCAGGAGAACAGAGATCATGTGATCACTTATGAGAAAGTAAAAAAAAAAAAAAAGATATATATATATTTATTTTAACATCTATACATACACCGGTTTTCCTTCCATTTCTATTTTAAAAAATGGGTTGTTACCCAAAGTAAGGGTTCACATATACTGTACTTTAAAGAAAGCCATGAGAGTAATATTGGAGTTGCCATTGCTGATCACCGTCTAATAATGCTAGTCCCCTTGGTTATCTTTCATTTTATCTACCAGCATTTATACCTTCTGGGTCACTGACCCAGAAAAAGGAAAGAAATGCAGATCAGGAATTCAGAGAAAAGTTAGAAATCTTTATTTGCATACTTGTTTTAGGTCAGTGGCATTTCAAAAAGAAAACTTAGCATTGGCTAATGCAGGCCATAGGCGGGCCATTTATCGTCCGAATTGTCGGCCGATAAATAAAAAATCGGTCGGTGCCATTGCTGATGCTGCCACCAATGTCCACAAAAAATGGCAGTTTTTCGTGGATTTTCCAGCATGACCGATAAAAATAAATGAGAAGATCCGCAAAAAACGGCCAATGGGCTGGCCCAATAACGGCGTGCATATCAGCCAATTTTTCATGTGGACGAAAATTCGGCTTATAAACGACCTGTCTATGGCCTGCATTAGTTCCTCTCATGCCATACTGACCACATTAATTAAATATTATATTTGCACATAATACACCTCACATTGGCAAACTTGTTAGTATGTTCAAGTCAATCTCTCTGCAGCTCAGCTCACCCTGGTCCCCCCTCCCAGCAGTGACAAAGCACTCTTTCAATGTTCTAATTTCTAAAGCAAAAACAGAGCAAGTGCTGCGGGTGGTTGAGCAGAGTGAGCTGAGCCACTGAACCACTTGCCTACCAGGGACTTATACCCCCTTATTTACCAGGCCAATTTTCAGCTTTCAGCGCTGCCGCACTTTGATTGACAATTGCGCGGTCATGCAACATTGTACCCATATGAAATTTTGATCATTTTTTTCTCACAAATAGAGATTTCTTTTGGTGGTATTTAATCACCACTGGGCGCTTTACTTTTTGCGCTATAAATTAAAAAAGTGCAAAAAATTTGAAAAAAAAAAAAGTTTCTTTGTTTCTATTATAAAATTTTCAAACAGGTATTTTTTCTCCTTCACTGATGTGCGTTGATGCGGCAGCACTGATGGGCACTGATAGGCGGCACTGATGGGCACTGATAGGCAGCACTAAAGGGCACTGATAGGCAGTACTAATGAGGTGGCACGGATAGGCGGCACTGAATAGACAGCACTAATGAGGTGTCACGGATAGGCGGCACTAATATGCAGCACTGATAGGCGGCACTGATAGGTGACACTGATGATGGGTACTGATAGACGGCACTGACTGGCATCACTGCTGGGCACTGACTGGCGGCACTGACTGGCACAACCCCTGGGCACTGACTGGTGGCACTGACTGGCAGCACTGCTGGGCTGCACTGGTGGGTGGCACTGGTGGGTGGGCACAGGTGGTTGGCACTAGTGGGCACAGGTGGGTGGGCACAGGTGGGTGGCACTGCTGGGTGGCACTGCTGGGCACAGGTAGGTGGCACTTCTGGGCACAGGTGTGTGACACTGCAGAGTGGCACAGGTGGGTGCACTGCTGGGCACAGGTGGGTGCACTGCTGGGCACAGGTGGGTGATCTGCTGGGCACAGGTGGGCGGAGCTAGTGGGCGCACTGCTGGGCACAGGTGGGCGGAACTTGCGGGTGGCATTGCTGGGCACCGATCATCAGGGCACTGATCATCAGTGCCCTGATGATCGGTGCCGATCCCCGCTCTGACAACTGCCGGTTCTCGGCAGTACTTTCCTCACGATCTGACAGAGTGAGGAAAGTGCAGCCGAGAACCGGCACTTGCATTTCCCTGTGATCAGCGTGTCATTGGACACCGCTGATCACGTGGTAAAAGGCCGGTATGATTGGCCTTTTACCACATCACGTGATCAGCTGTGTCCGTAGGACACAGCGATCACGGAGATCGCTGGGTGCGTGCCCCCTGGGGCGCGCAGGAGAGCGCGTTCTGGGCGGACGTCATATGACGTCCACTCAGAACTGGCCGGCCGCAGTTTAGCCGTTATTCGGCTATCTGCGGTCGGCAACTAGTTAAAGAATGACTAAGGGAACTTCAGTGCTTCTGTGATCCTTGAGGATGACTTCCTCTACAATGTTTGCATCTACAGTGGCCAGTGAGAGTTTGTTTTAAAACTCATTAAGGGCTTGTTAACACTAGCAGTTGAGGGGCAGTAAAACCCTGCGGCTGAGCTGCAGTTTACCACCCCAACTGTTATTCCTTTTAGCTGCAGGGGGAGCAGCTGGGGGTGTACACATGCTGCTGTTGTGATGAAATATACCTGTAACAAGCGTACACACAGTGAAGTACGCAGCCATCCATTTTGTTAAGAAATCTCCATTTTGTCCCATCATTCTCCCCCTTCCTCTCTGTTTATACACATTGACATATGGCCTGTGTGTTAGGAGTGTCCCAGGCCGGCCATAGCCCAGCAGGGAGGCCAGAGCTATACACCTGTCTGAGCTGAGCGCCTGGCTGTCTAAGAAAGCTGCGCAATATAGAACTTCGTAAAAGATAACGCAAGCCTTCCCAGGAGTTCAAAGACATTCCAGAGAAGCACGAACCAGATAACACTTTTAAAATCCATTTTTCCCCTATGTTTCATATCTTGGAATATGAGAGACTTCCATAAAAACCAGGCATCTCTTCAGATTGGCCACGAGGAGACAAACAGTTTGATAGGTCACTCTCCTTGGCTGGAATACATAGGGAAGCAGAAAAGTAGATCTCTTGAACCATTCAATATATAATTTAATATTTCATATCTAATCATTCCTCAGATGTGTCTACATAATAATCTATCCACGGGTGAAATGTCACTTGTGCATAGGGAAAGTTATGAGGCAAAATATGAACTATAAGAGATTTTGGCTCTAGTTTAGGTCTACGCTCAGACCTTCCCTCCCTGAATGGGGTAATAGTCCTTGCCTTCAGAGACACCCCCTGCTAGGGAACTACAAAATGGGTTGTCAGGCCTAAGAGAGCTAAGTTGAAGAATTCTCTCTTTTACCATCAGAACCAACCTGGCAGACGTGCCCTTTTGCTTTGAAACCTGATCTGCAAACCCAAGGCTGATTGGCAAGTACTTTACCCCTTTAACCTCCTTTCTGTTATCTCTTTGCTGTGCTGTTGTTCTCTGTATATTTATATATATATTGGTTACATCTTTTTTTCTGTAAATATTTTTATTGCGCCCTTTTGACCTTTTAGTAATAAATCTTTCCTTCTGAAAGTGTTGAACTGTTTCTATAGCTCTTTATTGCAATTTACAAATTCCTGCCTCTAAAAAGAGCGCTACTGTGTTTGTTTAACCCTCTGTATAGCCGGTCTGCGGTGACAGTGTTATACAGATGATTATCTCAACCATTATAGTGTTATAGCTGATATCGCTGAGTTTTCTCTTTCTCTGTACAAAAAAGAGGTGGTGGCAGTGTGAAGGGTTAATTGCGTAATTAACCTGACCCAGTAACAATCGCTCCCAGGCTGCCGGTACATAGATTGTGGTCCAATTAGCTGGAAAATCATTGTGCAGGGTGCAGCTTGGCGTGGCATTATTACACACGTGACATCGCGGTTTTAGATTGGCTGGTCCTTCGGTCACGAGTTTGGTGAGAAGGTCAGGGGTCTGATGCCACGTTCGTCACAATACCTCTTTTCTCATTCAAGTGAATGGGGCCACTATGCAAATGCCCTGCAACTTCGTGCACTGCACGTGATTGCAGCCTGCTGCTGAGAGGGGGTCAAAGGGCTAAAGCAGGCAGTGAGGAGGCAATATAATGCCCCCTGACTGCTTGTCAAATGCTCTCTGAAGAGTAATGTGATTGTAAATCACTCTTCAGAGGGAAAAGCTCATGGGAATAAGCCTTAAAACGCAATTATTGCTTGTTGGAAATGTAGTACTACCCCCTTAGGGGCCGCTGGATTAGAACTGGGTCCCCCTATGCTCTGTACAGCTAGACAACAAGCATTTTCCACAACTTGCACACTGGGTTCAAAGAACAATCCTTGAACTTTTTTTGTGATTTTATTAAGGGATTTAGAAGTGGGATGGGGTTGAGGGGTATATGGGATGCCCAAGGACCTGCAGAACTTGAGGACGGACTCCTTAGCAACTATGTACAAAAATGTACATAGCAACAGCCTCTTTCCTTGAAGAGCTCCAAAGACTCTTCCTACTGTACCTCCTCAGACCCTGGATCATTACTCCTCTTCATCCAGCTGCACTGAGGGTACCCCTGAGCAAGAGGGCCTAAGAGCTTTTCATTTAGAAACAGTCCCAGATGAAAAGCTAGTTGGGTCTTGCTAGTTGGGTCTGGCCCAGTGGGTGTAAAAGTACTCACATTGTCCTCTCCTGTTACCTTGTGGGTTGGTGACTGCCTTCAGACCCTATGTTGGGCTGGCTCCTACTCTGATACACAGATTGTCTTCCCTGGGAGATGTTGAGGCATCCTCTTTTCCAGTGACTTGTCTGTAGGTGGGCTCCCCTCCCTGGGCCCCCCTCCCAGGCTCCACACTCCAGCCTTCCTCAATCCATCTTCCACCAAACACTGCCCTACCCCCCCAGGCTCTGCCACATTTGAGGGTTGCCCTGGTCACCATGCCCTGCCTCATGTTAGGAGATTTGCCAGGGTCCCTGAAACATGCAGATCTGAGCCTCCACCCCTCCTCCAGAAATCTTGCAGGTTTCTGGAGAGGTGGGAGAGCTCCAGAAGCTCTAACCTGATAGAGCCTCCACACCTGTTCTGAGATAAACTCACTACAAAGGCTGACTCATCTCCAGGCTGCTACCCAGCCTCCATCTAAAAAAAAATAACTATCTAGCTAACCTAGAGGGCGTTACAGAAATATATGTAAGTACTGTGTATGTATGGTCACAGGCTCACTTTAAACCAGCCGGGGCTTAGAACTATATACTGTCTATGGCTTAGTTCAGGTTAGTCTCTTTTCAAACCACCTAATAATTTTTGTCACACAGTAAAAAATATCTTAGGGAACTTGGATACGTAGGTATTTTGATCTATATAAAACCGCTCATATATTACAATTGAAAATGGAGCCGTCCTTCCCATTGCACTCACAGTAGATTTACTAGTGTCTGTATTTACATGCTGCCCTTTTACTGTCTGTAAAACTAACTTTTATCTTCCACAAATACTGACTATAATTTGTTGCTACGATACCAACTTGAGCAAAGTCCTATCCTTTTTTATTTGCATATGGCCATAGGTTATTAGGCTGCTGCTGGGTGCAAGTATGGAAAGGAGCTACTCATTTCACATTAGAGCAGAGACTTCTTCATTGTGTAATGATTTACAAACACTTATTATAATAATATACTGTATGTATATGCAGAATCAATCATTTGCTCCTGGTCAGTGCTGTGTGCAAGCCACGTCACTGCTTTTTCCTCTCAGCAATTTGACTGGTGACAGTAGGAGTCAATCCCTCTTCCGCCTTTGGTAAATTCCCCTATAACCAGGGAAATCAAGAAAGCAGCACACATTGTGAAGTACCAGGCCACAGTGACAAGGGACTGCAGGTTCATGTTTGGGAAAATACAAAGGTACTGGGGCATTTTTACCTTTATGCAGAGAATGCATTAGGTAAAACACTGGTACCACTTTAAGGTTATGTTTAATTTGTATACATTTAGCTTTTTTATGATAATTTTATACTTACCATTTTGTGGTGTCTTTGAAGAAGCCGCTGTTCTCAAGAGCCTTGTTCCCATGCCCAAGACTCTGCAAATAGCACTATGCAGCTGTATATGCAGGACCCCGGAAGCAAAAGAGATATGAACAGCAGAAATGACATAACAAACAGTTATACAATAGCAAGAAATATGCTGCAAAAAGTTGATCAATAAAAGTAAATACAGAATCAAACAATTGCCATAGAGAGCAACCCCTCCTTAACCCTATACTGAGGCAATCCTAACTGAGGATTGTTACTCCACCATAATGGTTCAACACTCTGTAATATACTTTCTTCTGCTGGCCAGTTCGTTTTGGCCCAACTCCTATCTTGGACACTAAGGATAATATCCCCTCAAGCACTGATAAACGTACTTGCAATACTTACAGGTAACACTGTTCCACTTTGTTAAAGTGTAGTGGGGTTTTGACCAGCGGCTTTTCACCAACTCCTGGTAGCAGGTGATCCCCCTCAGTTTATTGTTGGCAACACAACCAGTCAGTGTCCACAGTGTCCTTCCCCTTGATCAGGCAGCAGGCTTAGTCAGCATCCATGGTGTCATCAGTGTTCCAGGATGTGGTCGCCACTGCACCCCTCTCCCTCTGAGGTGCGGTGGAGAGCAGTCTGCTGACAGCTTGAAGCACACTCAGTCTCTCTGAATGTCCTGTAATCTCCTTCTCCTCAGAACATGAACAACAACCTCCTTCTGTTCCTCTATTCTCAAAGCTCTAATCACTCTGGGATCTGTAGTTTCTTTTTGTTCAGTACATAAAGCAACTGTTTGGAACTACTTTTCCCACAATCCTTCATTCTTCCCAGCATTCACACAAATTCCAGCAGTCCACATTTCCTTCCTTTGTGTGGTGGGTGGACCCAGTAGGGTACACATGTTCTGTAATTATGGTCTCCAATTGTAGCTTTGTTTATCCTCCTGTTAACACAAGCCAGGACAGCAGCATGCATTGAAGCTTCTCCTCTTCTTGTCAGCTGCAGACAAGGGCTACATTTTCAAGTCTGGTAAAGAAATAACCCATGAAGGGATAACTTGGTAAGAGCAGATAATAAACCCTCCAACTCATCTAGTTACTAATAAAGATACCTCCAGATGAATGTTACACTAAAGTTCAGTTGCAAG